CACTCGTGTCCCCAGAGCTCCCCTGGTGTCCCCAAGGCCCCCCACTCATGTCCCCAGTGTCCCTGGGGCCACCCCGCCATCCCCGTGTCCCTCCTCTCTCCGGGGACTCCTGTGGTGTCCCCCCCATGCCCGTGACATCCCCAATGTCCCCCCTGTGACATCCCCAACACCCCCCTTGTGCCCGTGATGTCCCCAACATCCCCCTGTGACATTCCCAATGTGCCCCCCGTGCCCGTGACATCCCAACGTCCCCCCCATGCCCAGGACATCCCCAGCATCCCCCTCGTGCCTGTGACATCCCCAATGTCCCCCTTGTGTCCGTGATGTCCCCAACATCCCCCCCATGCCCATGACATCCCCAATGTCCCCCCCTGTGCCCGTGATGTCCCCAACATCCCCCCTGTGCCCATGACATCCCCAACATCCCCCTCATGCCCGTGACATCCCCAATGTCCCCCTCATGACATCCCCAACATCCCCCCCATGCCCAGGACATCCCCAACATCCCCCCCGTGCCTGTGATGTCCCCAACGTCCCCCCCTGTGCCCGTGACCTCCCAATGTCCCCCCATGCCCAGGACATCCCCAACATCCCCCCCGTGCCCGTGACATCCCCAATGTCCCCCTCATGACATCCCCAATGTCCCCCCTGTGCCCCTGACACCCCAACGTCCCCTCCCCTGCCCCAGATGAAAAACGCCGATTACTTCTCCAACTACGTGACGGAGGATTTCACCACCTACATCAACCGGAAGCGGAAGAGCACCTGCCACGGGAACCACATCGAGATGCAGGCCATGGCCGAGATGTACAACAGACCCGTCGAGGTCTACCAGTACGGCACCGGTGCGTGGACTGGGCGGGGAGGGGGTCCCCGAGGCACCACGGGGGTCCCCAAAGCACTGGGGACAGCAGGGAAGGGGGTCCCCGAGGCACCACGGGGGTGTCAAAACACTGGGGACAGCATAGAGGGGGTCCCTGTGGCACCCTAGGGGTGTCAAAGATTGGGGGGCAGCAGGGAAGGGGCCCCCAAAGCACTGGGGACGGCAGGGAGGGGGTCCCTGAGGCACCACGGGGGTGCCAAAGCATGGGGGACAGCAGGGAAGGGGTCCCTGAGGCACCCCAGGGGTGCCAAAGCACGGGGGACAGTGGGAAGGGGGTCCCCGAGGCACCACGGGGATGGCAAAGCACTGGGGACAGCAGGGAAGGGGTCCCCAAAGCACAGGGGACAGCAGGGAGGGGGTCCCTGAGGCACCACAGGGCATTGGGGACAGCAGGGAGGGGGTCCCTGTGGCATCACGGGGGTCCCAAAGCACTGGGGACATCAGGGAAGGGGTCCCCGAGGCACCACGGGTGTCACAAAACACTGGGGACAGCAGGAAGGGGGTCCCTGAGGCACCACGGGGGTGCCAAAGCACGGGGGGCAGTGGGAAGGGGTCCCTGAGGCACCACAGGGCATTGGGGACAGCGGGCAGGGTGTCCCCAGGCACCTCAGGGGTGCCAAAGCACGGGGAACATCAGAGAGGGGTCCTCCACTGGTGGTTGGGGGGTTCCTGGGGGTCCTCGGGTGCTGTCGGGGGGTCCCCACGGAGCAGTGGGATGGCCAGGGAGTGCCCGGGTGCTGTTTTGGGGGTCCCCATGTATCTGTAGGGTAGTTAAGGGGTTCCTGGGCATTATTTTGGGGGTCCCCATGGATCAGTGGGATGGTCAGGAAGTGCCCAGGGGCTGTTCTGGGGGTTCCCACAGAGCAATGGGGTGGTCAGGGAGTGCCTGGGCATTATTTTGGGGGTCCCCATGGATCAGTGGGGTGCCCCCCGTGCCCGCAGAGCCCATCAACACGTTCCACGGGATCCAGCACAACGAGGACGAGCCGATCCGGGTCAGCTACCACCGCAACATCCACTACAACTCCGTGGTCAACCCCAACAAGGCCACGATCGGCGTCGGGCTGGGGCTGCCCTCCTTCAAACCGGGGGTAGGTGGGCTTTGGGGGGGCTGGGGGGGGGCTGGGGGGGTTCCAACTGTGCGAAGGGGGGGGTTGGGGGGGTGGGGGGGGGGCGGGGGGGGGGCCGGGGGGGCTGCTCTCCTTCAAACCAGGGGTTGTGGCCTTTGAGGGATGTGTCCAGCTGGAACCTGGGGGTGTGGCCTTGAGGGCGTGGCCTCATCACAGAGGGGGTGTGGCCTGTTAGGGGCATGTCCAATAGGGCCATCATGCAGGGGTGTGGCCTGTGGTGGCCACACCCCCTCAGCAGCAGCTTGCCCAGGACACCTCTGTGAATGGGGGCGGAGCCTTTCTACCTATTTGGGGGCGTGGCCTGTTTTGGGGTGTGACCTAGAGGGTGTGGCCTGTTGTGGGCGTGACCTAGAGGGTGTGGCTTGTTTTGGGGTGTGACCTGTTTTGTGGCATGGCCTAGGGGGTGTGGCCTGTTTTGGGGCGTGACCTGTTTTGTGGTATGGCCTAGGAGGTGTGGCCTGTTGTGGGTGTGGCCTAGAAGGGGCGTGGCCTGTTGGGCCACATCCAAATGGGCCCTTGGCACAGGGGTGTGGCCCTGCCCACACCAGGTGTGCTGGGGGGGTGGAGCCTCCCTGTTGAGGGGTGTGGCCTGGTGTGGCCCCACCCCTTTGCATCTGGGGGTGGAGCCTTTCTGGGGGCGTGTCCGAGCCCGGCCCCTCCCTCCGTCCCGGCGCAGCTGGCGGAGCAGTCGCTGATGAAAAGCGCCATCAAGACGTCGGAGGAGTCGTGGATCGAGCAGCAGATGCTGGAGGACAAGAAACGTGCCACGGACTGGGAGGCCACCAACGAGGCCATCGAGGAGCAGGTGGCCCGGGAGTCCTACCTGCAGTGGCTGCGTGACCAGGAGAAGCAGGCGCGGCAGGTGGGACCCCAGAACCACCCCTGAGCCCTGACAGGGACCCCTGCGACAGGGTCCTGGTGTCCCCACC